GCACTGATGTCTATTAAGAGATCCCTTATTTTCAGCATTTCATCTAGGTTGCGCAATCTCCTCAAGATGGAAAAGATTTTAACTTCCTATCAATATAATCAAACTCATGATTATTGACTTCATTTGTGTGACTTTGTACCTGGGTCATTAAACTCCAGTTTTACTTCCATTCTCTCCCTGTTGAATTTAGTAGTGCAAACAAAACTGTGATGGAGAATACCAATCCTAATTTTGTTCATTTAAAAGCAGAACTCTGCAATCTGTTCTTATCTCACGTTCTGTTGCTTTCAGGAAGATCTCAATGGATCTAGTGAAGCAAAGAGTTGTATGAGAATGGAAATAGTTCATGAAAAATGGGTCTTGAGAGGTTATTTCAAAGCTGATAAAGGAATCAGTGGGGTCTTTTTTAAGTCAGTAAATATAGCTGGCCATACACTATGTAAACACTACTTGGGCTGAGCGGGAGGCTAGCAGCTTCCGCTGGTCACCTTTTCTGATAAACAGATGAAATGAGAGAAGAAGAAAGGACCTTTCTTATGCGTATGTATTTAGACGTATTACTGTGTCCATTTTGAAAGCCCAGCTGGCTTCCCGAGTTAGTGGATTGTGTCTCTGTGTGCATACACACACATGTTTTATAAATGGTTTGATCTTACCTGAGAATCTGTGGCTCTGGTTACATTCCATTTGTTCACACTTCTGTAGGCTCCATAGTGAGCTTGCTGGATAGATGACAGTTCATTAAGTTAGCTGACAGTGCACATACAGCCTTTCCACCCACCTCCCCCAGCCCTAAAATAAAAAATAAAGAAATTAAAATGGCAAGAAGGAAAAATACTATGCAAATAGCTCTGAAAGCATAGACACATTTAAGCTAATGCAGTTCTGAGCATCATAATAAAAAAATGTTCTGTCAGGGATGTTGCAGTTACTCCAGTTATATGACCACCTTGCAGCAGTGCCAGTGCAGGCTGTCAGAACTGGTTATCTCAGTAAGGCTGAAAAAACGTTCATCACTAACTTTTTAGAGTCACAGTTCAAAAGAACCCTTTTTCTTTTCTTCTTCCTTGCAACAGTTAAGGTAGCTTCTAGGTACTTGGGCATCTCATATTGCAAAGCAAGTGGTTCGGAGATAGCAGTTAGTGAGATCAGTTGCTTTTGAAAATGTTCTTTTGGTGTTATGACTCAGTTTGTCAACTTCCAGCATGTTATTTCTCCAAATATTATTAAAAAAACCCGAACAACTACTAGATCAACTGCAAAGATCCCTTTTCGAAGGGTTCAGCACTTTCAAGTAGTTCATTCTGTTTCTTAAAGTTGCTGCAGGGCCTGTTCCCTGGAGTTATATCAATGTAAGAGCACTACTATAAGGATGAAACCACAGAACAGTCATTCTGTTACTTTCTTTAACGTGAAAACCTTCTTGTTCAACTAGGAATCCTCAAGCAGTGCGTTCATGTAGACCATCAACTCTGCTCTCATACAATGTGTGGTCAGAACAGCTGAGTTTTAAAAAGCTTTTATACCAGCTCAGAAAAACCTCTCAAGCCCCCCTTTGGGATTAGTGGCTTTAGTTAATGTTGGTTAACACTTATTTGGAACAGGCATGTTATTCTTTCCTTAACCTTTATTCTCATCGTTCTTCCAATCTCCATTTAAATTCCGTTTTCCCCTCTGTTGGCGTCTGTACCCTTAGCTACCTCACAAACAAGATGCATTGCCAGCTGGCATGCAAGAGCAGAACTGAAAGCAGTGCTGCTAACCCCTGCTCCTCTCCACTCCCTGCAAGTTGGAGGCGTATCAAGCTTGATGCTGAGATCCCAAAAAGCAGAATTCTGAGCTCCTTGGGAACTCAAAGACCTGGGTTTGAGGCTATTAAGCTATTGGGCTGGCTCACTGAACTACAGTTGTTCATACATCTCTGTTTTATACTTTTTTTTTTTTTTGGAATGAGCACACATTCCTACTTGTACTGAGTATTTGTTGTGCTGTGAAAAGGTGACCAGAAAACAGTGCAACAGATTATAGGCAGTTTTAATCAGTTTTGTTAAGGCAACCAAAATCAGGTCCAGAATGACAAGCCCAATGCTTTTCAAAGCGATTTAAGGATGGGAAAAGATTTGGACAAACCAGTGTTGCAGTAGGTTTTGGCTATGGGCAGCACTGACTTGATTTTATGTGCCCAAAACTTCTGCTCTTAATCAAAGAAGAAATTGAGAACTCATAAATAACAAAATAAAATACAGAATCTGGAAAAACTTCATCCAGCCCCGCGCACTGCTGCTCACTCTTTTGACCCACACACAGTGATTGAACCTAAACTATATTTAACCTTCCCCCAACCTGTCCACCCCTGAGTTTGGTTCTGAATTTGTCATGTCTTTTTTTCTACATTGGTAAATGTTTCTGTCTTCAGTTTGTAAGGTAGAAAGCCTACCCACAGGACACCAACAACTTCCATGTTGCCTGTTTGGGGAAAGAAAGTACATATTTAAAAGAATCAGCAATCTAGAGAGAGAGGATATAATGTGATTGAAGATTTTCACTGTAACATTGTAGAGTACAAAAAAAGAAAATATAAAGTGCATTTTAAATGATTAATGTACAAAAGCTGACCTCTTCCAGTGTGCATTAATCAAGAAAAAATGCACACTGTCTATAGTGGTTAATGTTGCAGGTCCATTATTTAGCTTTGATAATGTGCATAAAAATGTTCAATATGACAATGAGTTGGGGTAGCTGAGAATTTAGGATGGTGGCAAGTTTGTTGTAGTATTTGGATTAGCATTCTTAACCTACATCTTGACAGCTTCTTTTCTTCAGTTTGGAAGAGTTAACAAAATCTAGCTGTATCCTCTTTCATTTTTAGTTATATATATATTTATATATATATATATATATTTTTTTTTTAAACAAAACAATTTAAAAATACCTGCTTAAACAAATACTACCAGCATTCATTAGTCAGGATGGTTATATGTGAAAGAAATGATGCCAGATAGTAACAAATCCAAGAGAAGTTTATTATGAAAATGGCACCTGCGGGATGAAAAAAAATTAAGTTACATAAAGACAACCATGTATGACATGTATGAGAATCTACAAAAGTATAAAAAGAACCCTGTTGTAAATGAAGTATGTACATTTCTGATTTGCAGCATTATCAATGATCAATGAAAAAAATGTTTCAAATAAGCCAGGCACTCGAGAAGTTAGATTCGGTTAGCTTAACACAAAATAAATGTACCATAGCTGTCACTTTTTAACGTTTTAATTTTTTTTTTTTATATTGTAGAGTTGGTAACACTGCTAAGATTTATACGAACAGAATCCCTTTCCCCGTTATTCAGCTACTTGGCACCAGTCTCCTCATAAAAGATTTCATATATTTGTACAAGAAATAGTTAAAAACACAGACACAGTCTTCACAGGTAATGAAGTTTTTTTTCATTTTGTAATTTTAAACACTATGGATTTAGACAGCAGCTGTGATTATCTGTTAGTTTAAATCACCAGAAATCATTTTGACACAACACAGAAACATTTATAAAAAAAAACAAAACAAAACAAAACAAAAAAACAACAGCTGTCTAGCTGTTCTTTGTAGCTGATAGGTGCACTCCTTTGATTGTTCAATAGCTAGAGTAGAGCATCCAAAATTAAACTCTGAATTTCCCAATCAGCTTTCTTGCCTTTTTTAGTCTTACTTAAATCCTTCAAATTTAACCTTTAAAAGCTCATTAATTAAATTTGTGACATCCAATTCCCTTTCACTATTGTTCCGCTGCGGCTTGGACCGACATCTCAAATTCAAAGCTATTGGAGGAATTGACTCAACACAGTGAGTGATCAAAAATTCAAAGGACAGCTGAGTTAATAGATTAGCATTGCACACATAAGCAAATATATATGACAGTTCTAAGCTGTTTCCTTTTTACATGACATTGGTTGACCTTTGAAAGGATTTCCTATCTCACTGGTGATTGCTGTATGTATTGCTCCCTCAGCCTACCTGGGAGAAAACCAAAGAAATGCACCCTCTGCTTACGGTTAGAGCACAAGGGACTCTGGGAATGTTAACAACTGAGGCTATATGGCATCAATTTGCTTAATAAATCTGAGCATTACTCTGTAGTGCATTGTGTGGTACACTGGAAGAGTAAGTCACACCCAGAATTCCTCTGTGGGAAAAATGGCTCCATTAACCTTGAGCTAGTTAAGAGTCTTTTCTCTGAGAGTGAAGAAGAGAGAACAAGAGAGGAAGAGAAAGAGACGGGAAGCGTGGAGGGGAGGGGAGAAGTGGGGAGAGAGAGGTTGGAGAATACACAACAGCAAAGCAACTGCAGAAATTAAAAGGTATACAGACAGTGGAAGCAGCATAAGGTGACATTACAGAGGAAGGCCACCACACAAAAACCACTAACCCCCAAGAATCACTGGTTCACTAGGACTGCAGGAATGGGACTTTACCACTCCAGACTAGAGATAAAGCACAGAGAAGACAAAGGACAAAACAACTACATTAGCTTAGTATATACTGCATATAGTAACACACATTGAAACTGCAATGGGACTGACAGCCAAGGACACTTACACATTGTACACATTACAGTTCTCACATCTGTTATTAGATGCCTTAACAAACAGCTGCCAAAGATGGAGTGGAAGAAGAATTTATATTTGACAGTCATTTGCAGTGTTTGACACTACACTGTGATTTCTGGCAATGAAGACAAAATAGGAGATTTCTTCTCTTTTACTTAATGTGCAGTTTTCAGTTGTAGTTATCTATTTCAAGCTTATTAACCCATTCTTTAGTTTTATAACATATTGGTTTCAACACTAGAAATAAGGAAAAAGCAACAAAATACCCAAATCAAAGAACAAAAAGAAATTTACAACCTTCCCTCTATAATATTAAATGAAAACAAAACATGTTAAATAGTTCTTCTGTTTTTTTTTTGTGGTTTTTTTTTTTTTTTTTTTTTTTACTCTGAAGTGTTATTTGATGTAGAATTAGCCTCAGTTACACTGAGAAAAGAAAACAAACAACAAAGCAAAACAATATGCACCTAAGAAACTGCTCCTTGCATCAATTAAATTGAGTTTTTTATTTTTAAGCACTTTTTGAAAAAGGCTTCCTGACCCATTTAAATTTAACGTGAGGCTATACTTGTTAGTTTGGAGGTAAAAAATTTAAGTCCTGCAGCAAATGTTAATGAGGGCTTTTGTCTTAACTAACCAAGGAGACTGCAGCACCCGACTATAGACCAGTACGGAACACATTCTTTTCAAAAAACCCAGCCCACAAGCTGCAAATTGTATGAAGATATTACAGATTAATAAATGATAGCACCATGGTTTTAGAAATTAAGTTAAAGTTTCAGTAATTAACATTTAGTCCAACTTTTCAACATTCTAGTCACAGGCCAGAAATTAACTTTTTAAGAACCCAAATTATTTTATGTGCAAGTAAGAAAATCTTAACCGTAAAAAGAGAATTAAACTCTGCATAAAATTCTAAAATACTATCCCCTATTTTAAAGGAATTAGGAACAAAAACCCCTTTTCATTTGACTTAGTCAAACAGGGCACATTGTTTATGCTTGTCTCTTTTAATCTTGATCATATCAAGATCATTTTGAAGTAAAACCAATGGTTGTCACTTTAAAATCTCTTTACCACAACACTGAGTATTCTATGGCAGAGGCATACACATTAAAGGCATCTTAATAAAGATGCAAAGGAAAAAACACACATCTTAGAAGAAGACAAAATGGCAGGCAACTGGTACTTCAACTCTCTGAAGGCAAAAATAAAAAAATATCTTTACATTAAAGAATAAGTCAAGTTAAAGAGAAGGGGAATGAAATGGGGACTGTCATATTGAGAGAATAAACTGACCTGCTCGAATTCAAAGTGCTAGAATTAAAGGTCTAAATTAAAACATAGTCTATGCCTCAGAGCTTAACACTGAACACAGTATGTGGTCATATTTCAATCCTCTTTCCGTTCCAGAGTCTGTGTAGTATGAATGCCATTGCTGTACACAGGAAATGGAAGAGTGGAAAAAAGTCCTTCGGCAGTCGTGAACACATTCCCTGCAGGCATTTGGGTCAGACTGGCCCCGCTCACAGCACTTCCAAACGGTCCCGACATATTGAGTCGGTGAACGTGGTGGTAGAGCATTTCCATCGGTGTTTTAGGATCCAGCCCAAAGCTGGGGCTGTTAACATCAACAAAGTTAACAGCGTGGGTGTTGGGGAGGAGGTTGCCCTGCATGGCTAAAGTAACTTCAGCTGGAGCATACCGAATAGTGCCAGTGGTGTAGACCCTCTGAGCAGCAGTGCTTGTTGCGGCAAGGGTTCCTGTTACCCTGTGAACCAAAGGAAGCACCACATTGCCTGCTTGCAACCTCTGAAGGGCTTCCAGATCCCCAGTGTACAACAAAGAGTTGGAAGTTGTGGGACCACCTGGGTGTTTATCCCTTGGAGATGCTGAAAGCGGGGGTGACAAAGGGTCAGAGGACACAGGAGCCAAGGCTGAGTTGGATGAGGTGCTGAACTGAGTTTTGCGGCTGGCAGTATTTTCAGTCCCTGGTGGGGTGAGAACAGAGTCTGGAATGGAGACATGTAAACTACTGCTGGCTTGGGGGGAAGGGAAGTGCTCGGAGCTGGGGGGCTTGGTCATACTGTAGGGTGATTCATTCCTTGAGATTTCCCTGTTGGGGGGGTAATTCCAAATACTGCTATCGTTATCAAAATTGATAGGTTCTGAGATTTCTGTTTTAATTTTGAGCACTGAGGCACTGTTTGGTGACGAGAGCAGCTGGGGCTGGTCCACCAAAGCTGAGTCAAGTCCGTTTGGGCTTGAGGTGCTTGACAACCTTCTCCGGGTCATGCTGCCTCCCTTTTGCTTTTTTCTTCTCTTCTTCCTCTTTTGATGTTTGCTAGAAGACTGGGCATTTACTTCCCCTGCACTGTCTGAGTCCTTGGCACTGTCTGAGGTCAGTGATTCACAGTTCTGCAACCGCAAGTCTGACTCACTCTCAACAAAACGCTCCACCTTGATCTGCATAGAACCAAGAGTGCCAAAACTGTCCTCAGGAGCTTTTTGATTCTCGAAGTCCGAATTCTCAAAGCTGTCATCACTGTCCCTGCTGTCCTGGTTGCTGGAGCTGTTCCCATCATCATTACAGTTCATTTCATTATCTGACTGATTTCCTGACTTTTTCCTGTCGGATTCAGGGTCTTCACTGTTTTCTGACTGGTTTCCTTTCTCATCTGACTTCGAGTTCTCATTGTCCTCTAAAGCAAAAGTAAAGTGAAACAAATCATTAGCAATGAGAATATAATATTACAGCCCAAATCTAGATTTCTACCTACCAATGAGGCACTCTCTTCTGTAGAGCCATGCTTATTTGCAATATGGTGTTGGCAGAGTTTTGATCACCATTAATCTCTCTGACTTGGGATATTCAAGGCACTAAAGGCCTGTGCTATTTGTCTGGTCTGAATTTTCCTTGAACATATACTAAGGCACCTTGGATGAGGAGACCTTTATATCTGCTCTGTTGGTAAGAACTGTCTTGACAACTGTGAGCACAAGAGCCCTGTTTCACCTGAAGGAAGAGGAGTCAGTGAACAATCCCATTATGACCATTATGCTCTGATTATTGTTTTTTCACTTATGTGTTCCCCTCAAGTGGGAAGGCATCAAGATGTAGCACTATTAACTAATGAGGATTCTTAGTCCTCTCATCTCATTTTCCTTCACCTTCACCACTTTCAAAGAGGCACAGCATCTCTGACTGCTGTGGAATTTCTGCCACTCTCCTCCAGTATTGAGAGGAGAAGCAGGTCATATGTGTATAAATCTGAATGAATAAACCAGTTTAAACAATTTTGTTACGTTGCTAGACTGGCTTTTCATATTCTCTTGAAGGACAAGGAAAAAAAAACACAGAAAAAAAAATCAGGCAGTGAATTAAATTCTCGATTGATCCAAATCATCTAAGGGCCATTGAAAGCAGCCCAGCTACAGCACTGAGAAGCTGTCACTCTTCTGAATTCTTTCAGTTGTGTTTTAGATTTTTTTAAACTAATTTGAATACGGATGAGATAAACACTCTAGTCCACTGGACTCAGACAGCCAAGGCAGCTTTGAGAATGAATACTCCCCATTATCATGCTGTGTTTGAAAGGGTCATGAAAGGCTTCAGGAGACCCCGTCTTTTACAGAACAGCCAGATATCTTTTGTTCGGAAATAAAAGATTTCTTTTTTTTTTTTTTTTTTTTCACTCATCAGGGCCAAGTACTGCTCCTTTCAGTACATTTGTGTTGGAGAGGGGAAGGGGCAATTTTCTTTTACAGATTGGTTACTCCTGGAGCCATGTTAATACCAAACAGTGCTGGAAAAGCTGGAGCAGGTAGGCCTGATGGGAAAGCTGCCTGAGGATTCAGGGCAACACACTTTGTAGAAATTTCAAGTAAGTTGCTTGGAGAGACTTCTGCTTGAGTCATTAACAACAGAGGGACCTCTCATTTTGAAAAATAAAACCCACAGAAGCAAATGAACAGCCACAACACCTCAAACTGCAGCCATCTGGATCTGAGTTTCACTTATAATTTTTAAAGATGTTGTCTTCTAGACATGATTTCTAGTTGGTCAACTATGGGTTTATGGTGAAGGATTCTAAAACTGCACAAAATTTGCCTGGGATTTTATCAGAGCTTGAACTAAGCTTGGTGGTTGCATCCAATACAGCATACTCTGATTTCAGATCCCTTGCAATTTCTGTTTAATTATTTTGCAAGAAACAACCCTCTCCTTTGCTGTCTAGCAAGGCCTGCAGACCTCTTCTGAGATGTACACTCAGATTGTGCACCATTGAAGAATGCCCTCTTGGTCTGAGTCAGCCTTAGGAGTTATGAACGTATGTGTATTTCTCACCTGGAGAAACTTAGAGTGCTCATGAGAAATGCAAACTTTTCTCCACATCTGTGATCTTTGGCTATTTAGAAACAAGACAGTATAAAGGAAGCACACATAGTAGTGATTTTTTCCAATTTTGGTTCTTCTTTTCTTTTTTTTTTTAATGTTATCATAGATGTGCTACAGTCGAGTAACCTCAGTTCTTGGGCCATGCACAACCATTTTCCTTTAAAAGCCAGTTAATCTGTACCCGGGCCTGTATAATCACAGTGAACCATCTGTGTACTGGACCATCTGTAAGACTGATTTATATATTAAGTTTGACAATTATATTTAGCTTTTAAAACATAGCTAAGTCCTAGACTATAAAGCTTAGAAAAAAGTGCTTGAACCTATACCTTCCAATAAATTGTAATTATTTTAACCCAAGAAGACACTAAAACCTTGCAATCTTCGCTGCCCCCTAGTGAGACTAATAATAATAAAAAAAGCATTTATATAAGAAAAAAGGTTATGGAGACTGATGGTGGATATTTATGTTCAGAAATTTTGACTGCTTTTGAAATATAAAAACTTTAATTATATTCAACAGTTACAATTCCATGGTCTTTCATAAGGCACAACACCTGTTTATGAAGCTTAGTTGGAGACCCAAATATTTTGTTCAGTGCAATACAGGCAAGGATGTATCCATAGAATTAATAGAAACACTGAGGCAATTGAGATACTGTGAAAATGCTGAGGTTATTAAAATATTGTCCTGGATTTCTTCAACTTAATTTTAAAGTATTTTTGCTGTTGTAACAAAACACACCTTGAGAAATATTGAGAAGCTGTTGGAAGGGTAACCATGTGGCTCTCATGTCATGGATCTTTTGTGACTATAAAGAAGGATACATCATGTGTGTTACCTGAATTGTCCTTTGAGTCTGACTCAGAATCAGAGGTCTCTGAGGATTCTGAGGTTTTCTCTGGCAGATGAGGAAGTTGTGCAATATCCATAGGAGTGTCCTTGTACTCTGGGTTACTGAAGAAGAGACAGCAGCATATATAAACACAATTGGATGATTTGTAGTTGCATGTTTTTTCTTCTTTTCATATCAGAGAACATAAATAGAAAGAATAGGAGAGCAAACAAAAAACCATATGCTTTTGTTTCCTTAGAGCTTTACAGCAGGGATTTCATGAAGGTATATGTTAATAGTCTGTCAAATATTTATGATGATCAGGTATAAAAACTGTTTCATTCTAGTAAATTTTGAGAGCTAAGAAAGTATTCTTACCAAAAAGTGGGACACAGTGGTTTGTATGATATCTCACATACTGTGTCATCATTGAACAATAGGATATTTCTATTTCAACTCTATCCATTACTGTGCTTGGAAATACAAGCAGTGTGCTGTATCTTTTCCTGTTTCTCTTCCACCACCAACACCTATTAGAATTATCTCTGTAAAAATATATCAACCTTCCCAGGGCCATTTCAACAAGTGATTTTTCTCAACAAACAGATCATGCATAAAGTTAATAAGAAGGTGATTAGTTAGGGCTAGAGGAAATGACCACTACTCAAAAGAGCTTGGCCAGAAGATAACTAAAAAGGATATATATGTCCTTAAATATATATATATATATTTAAAATACTGCACACATGGATCCATATCACCAAGAAACTGTAAGCAAGCACTCTACGACAGATGCACATATGCATGTTAAGATGCATATGTTAGGGATAAAGAACTGTCAACACACCCATTATAATCATATCTTCAGCTGCTCATGTGGTGCTCACCTGTGACTTGTTAGCAACGAACACGACTGCAATGCAAAAAAGCTACACTAACAGAGAAACTGAAGAAAATGCTAAGCTTTTTCTTGGTTTGCACCTTCCAAAATATATTCCTTTCCCAAACCAGTGCAAAGAGAGAGGAACACAGCTGCACAAAAGTGGCAGTGGAATGTTGAAAATAAACAAGGTCTTTAATCATTTTTGAATAGACGAACATTTCTAAGCAACTCAAATTCCTTCCCTGTGATAGAGCAGAAAATCTGCCGTCCTGTGTAGAACAATGTGAGGCAGGGCTAGGGGTGACTGACACACTATCACAATGACACTGTGCCCATATTCAGTCTATTACAGTGTACTGTGAAAATTCAGAGTTCACACAGCTCACACTGAAATGCCATTCATACAATTACCATCTTTATGGTTTTGTCCTGACAAAGTGACTTTATTCTGTTGCATCCCAGGGCAGTCCCCAAATTTGCCCCCTCTAAGCAAAAGATGCTTGAGGGCTTTCACACTGTGAATAACAAGTTGCTAGAACAAGAACAGCATTAATCCTCCCCGTCGCTATAATTAGTCCATCTCTTTACAGACAGCTGAATCGTACCTTCTAATGCATGGAAATGTATACAGACCGGTACTCTGGCTCAGAGTAGACCTAATTATGCCTTGATCTGTCATTAAAATATGGTTTGGACTCTTCGTGGATTCCAGTACTAAGATAAATCTAAATTAAAACTACAAATTAACTGAAGAAATTAATCTTTCTCTAGCAAACCAGTGAAGGGAATGTGGTAGAAAAGTTAAGTTTGGAAGCAGCCTTGAGTAAGACCACACTGCTTCTCTCCTTTTTTTGTTACATTTAGTCTGTTGCTAGAGAAAATAATTTCATTTCACATTTAAGGATTGAGCTCACCCACTGTCTGAAAAGCAGCAAAGGGGGCAGAGGCAACTTTTGACTATTTTGAATAGAAAATGAGTACATTTCTGAGCAGTTTGAAGCCCTGTTAGTATTGGGACATTGAAGGTGTACTTCCAGTGCAGAATTGGCAGGCTCAAACTGAACTCTTGAAATGCTGCATTCTGCCCCTCTCTTGCAGGCTCAGCTAACACTTCACTCTGTGGATGATGAGCATCCACTTGTTTTAAAGAAGACACAAAAACTGAAGGATAAGGATATCTTTGGAAACACCCATACTTAATCATAGCAGGGCAGAAGTAACTAATCCCAGTCAGATTATACTCCATCTTCATGGAAGGTTTCCCATGGGGTCCCTCAGCTCTCCTGCTGGGGGTTGCTTCCCTCTCTTCCTCAATAGGGATATCAGAAGTAATTCAACATGCAAGTTTAGGCAGGCATGGGCTTGCTGGACTTGGCATAAAGTCACTCTCTAACCCCTGGAGATCACTTTGAGCTCTCATGGCATCAAAGAGAATGTAGCAAACCACGACAAGCAATTTAAAAAAGGAGAACAGGTCAGAAAATGACAATTGCATTTCATGACAATCTCAAGGTTTCAAATTTTATTTGTTTTGTTTGTTCTGGAATGAAACAGAAAATCTCCCAATCTTACTGAACACTTACAGGACAGAATGTGTTGAAAAGTATTTTCAGATGAGAAAGGTCAGGTTTATAATTCACTGTCTCTCACTGGCTGTTGGTCTTCCCTTGAGCTCAGAAACCTGTCCTTTGAAAACACCTGTGCTTGGTAAAACAGAATTTTTCAGGGAAGAATCTTTCACTGTTTTGGTTTCAAATAATCTTAAGAGCTACTTCTGTTTGTGAATCCTATTTTGCAGTTTTAAAAGTGAATACCATCAAATAGTTGTAAGAGTAACACATTATTTCAAGACTTTTCTTCTGAGAAAATTCTGCTTTTCAGAGTGAAAGCTGAATATCTGTCAGAGACACCTTTCTTTTCATAATCTTTTAGGAAGTTTGCTTCCATGCATTTTCAGTAACCAAATAAACCAGTGCTGAGCACTACCATATTTTATAATACAGCCACTGCAAGCTAGTGTGAATTTTCTACATTTCAGCTTAGGTTGGGTAGACTTCAGGATAGTGAAGGCATGCAGTAAAATGATGGAACGTTTACTTGAATGCTAAAGCAGCACAATAATTCAAAAATATTCCAGTGTACTGAGATGTGACAGATTTCTTAATACATTCAACCAAATAGCAGACCATAGGAAAGAGTTGTTTTCATTAATACTCTACAGCAAGCAATTGTTTTTTCCTAAAACTCTCACAAGCACAGTTAAGCAATAGAGAGAGCAGTTCAAGTGAGAGAAGGGATTGGAAGATATACCTGAGAAGGTAATTGACCCAGATGATATTCTTCTCGCTTGCATTCTTGGCATTGACAGCTATGGTTGCACTAGACTGTATCCAGATATAACCTCCATTCTTCTGCATCCAGCGGTAATACTTCGTTACACACTGACCCTTATTCAACACTGGGGAAAAATACAGGTAGAATAGAAACAAGATATATTGCATATTAGAACTGTAGTAAAATGATCTGCATTGTACAATATCCAACATGTATGAGCAAAAGATTCTCAACTTCGTTTACATTTAATGAGATGGCAAATGGCATCTGATGCTTGTATGCTTTACAAGCTTTTAAAGTACACTTTTAATCTGCTTTTTTTTTAAATCTGGAAACTCTAGTGGAAGAAGAAAAGTGAGAAGAACTACAAATCTCTTTGGTTCACAGAATACTTATTGCTGTGTGGACATTTTCAATGCACTCAGAGTCAAACTGTAAGAAAGAAAAAGAAAAAAAAGAGGCAAATTTATATGTGATTTATTCATAGCTCCTAGGTAGACCTCTTTGAGATTCTGGATATTTGAAAGGTTTGGGAAGATACTCTACCCCTGCTGCTTTGATCATTTCTCCTTATTGCAGGCGATATCAACTACTGAACTTATACATCTGTTTCTTTGATCTTGTCAAACAGAATTTACAGTTCTCAGATGAACCAAATCTCCACTGGTCAGTAGGGGGAAAGTCTTGGGAGAATTTACTTCTACCCGAGCAAAGTAAATCCACCAGCAGACTGAGAAAAAGAGAAAGAGGCCTAAGGGAAGCACAGAATGACTTGGCTAGAGCCAAAGAGTGACAGCTCTCTCCAATGTTTGAAATATGCTAGGAAACAGAGAAACAAGTAAAAGAAATCAGTAATGTGAAACGGTGCTATTATATGCTTGCAGAAAGAAGGCTTAAAAATACAGATGTTTAAAGCAACACTTCAACCAAAATATTGCCAAATTGAAATGGATTTGGTTTGTGTCTGATCTCTCAGTGTCAGGAAAATGGGATGAAATGCAAATGTTTCAGAGGATGGACGCTGCAGAGTTTTAAAGCAAATCTAAACTGTACAAAATCTGGGTACTATTGTTACAAGAATGCTTGCTCTTGTCTGCAATTCTCACTAATCCTGTGAAGCTTTGTACACTAGAGGGCAGTGTGCATTCGTATACACCTTCTGCTTTTGTCATGTCCTTGTCTCCGTCTGCTAAAATGAAAAACCTCTAACTGCTGTAATAAATTTGGCTAAATTAGCTGCTAAATGGTTATCTCAAGTAATATGTATTTGCATTAATCATCTTGCTCTAAACCAGAACAAGCCAGAGTCCTAAAGATGTAGTAAATTCATATTGTCCATTTAATTACGGCTAATAAGTGCTTCATATACAATGGTTTCATGAAGTACATTTTTATTTTTTTATTTTTTATTTTTTGCTAAGGGAAAAGAAAAAAGTCACTTTGGAAAAGAGTAAGTATTTAAGGCAGTTAAAGTTCGTGCCATAAATGTGACAAATTATACTTTGGAGCTTTCAAGTTAACCAAACGTCTATACCCCTAATTATACATTTCTATGTATCTGTATCTAGATCCCTGTACAATCCCTGTACAGATATCTACAGAAAAAGGATATTTACAGAGGCAACCCTACATACACGGATTTTTTCCTACCTCAGAGTCCCCCTCTGATTTGTCAACAATTGAATGAATAAGAGCATGTAAAAAGTTCAATGTCAGGCTCAGCTGCAATACAAACAAATATTTGTGTGATCTGAGTTTTGTTTTGCAGCAGTCTCTACTCAACTAGGTCTGTTCCTATAAAAGATCCATAAATGTTCCCAAATTTTTATTTTTGTATTCCAAACTCTAAATATCCAGCTATGGTAATTCACTGGCGTCAAAACTTCATTATACAGTAGAATAAAGATAAAATATTTACAACTGACTACCCAGCATTTCTGTCAAACCAATGTTGCATGCTACTTTATAAAACAATCTCACATAAATTAGTCCAAATTTATTGGTTATGAAAAATAAGGGACGAAACTGCTGTAAGTTTTGATTATGTTAGACTTTTCCATTTCAGTAAAATAGAACATTCAAAATGCTCTTGTTTACAGCTGACAGTAATATTGATATGCATGGAAAGTCTAGAGTGATACTGTTTCCTTTCCTGAAAGCTGAACACCCACGGTTACATCAGTAACTAGTAAATTCTACCTGCATATGTACCTGTCGTTTGTGCTGTCCTCTTTATAACAATTTCTACCCAAATTTACCATGATATACAAATATTAAAGGATGAATTCTCATAATTGCCCGCAGTGGACATTTGAAAGTCAAGGTGAGTCACTATACAGTGACTTGACACAGCAATCCTGCACAGTGATCGTTATGGAGACCCAGATCCTCTAGTCCTTTCAGTCCATTTCATCCTGAACATTTCCTCCTTCAGTACCTCTTACATTGGTTGTTGCACCACTGGAAAAGTCTGTGTCATGAGCTGCACTAAGCATTCGTTTCAGAGCTATGGAAAGAGGGAAAACTAAAAGCTTACAAGCTATTTCTGAAGGAAAATGTGCTTTTTTAAGAAAGAATTCAATGTATAGGTGTTGCGTGCAAAAAATATGCAGCCAGAGTTCAGGCTCTCGAACTACTGTGCAGCCAAAGAAAATCTGAAATACTATCTTGAAAATAGGCTTTCCATGAAGTTCATGTTCCTGCAAATTCCCACTCTCTATTTGGTCAGCTCAGATATATTGCCACATACATAGAATTTTTCTCCCTGCAACTGTCTAAGGCACATTTCATATGAGAGATTTGTGGACCATGCTCTGGAGGAAGTCCCACGATTCAATATAAAAATTCTCTCTGTAAAGAGATTGTCTGGCAGACCAGCTGTGCTGTGCTGCTAAATCTGGTTCTTACATCCTTTGAGAGTACACTGGATAGTCTCAACCCAGGTCTGAAAGATCATACTGTAGCTTGGAAAAAAAAATTGTCAATGTAATGCAAGGGAAAGAACGAAAACATCTGATATGTTTTCTAATTTATAGTATTCTTTAACTGTTGGCATTGTCAAATTGCAACTTAGAAATTAAATGATAATTCTGAGAAAATGTACAACGAGAAAGACACATCAAGAAGGGAAATCTGTTTTCTTTATAACCTGCTGTTACTGAGGAAACTTGGTTTCATCTTGAGGATCTTCAGTTTACAGGTATGGGGAGTCCATTAATAAAGTTACTGGTTTTGAGAATAAATGAAGTACAGAATTAGTCCAACTTAAGCTGAGCTTGTGAAGTTATGTTTTGTTACTAGCAACAGATAACCCATTTCAGTTTAGTGTAAATTTAGGAAAATATAACGGTATTTAGAACACATTCTAAAGTCAATCAGACTGTATTTAAGACAATTCCCTTACTGAATTCAGGTCTATTTTTGTACACCAACAAATATGGAGTTTTAAGTTTCTGTTTGTTACCAAAATTGCTAGCAAAACTGTTTTCTATTTAGCAAAAACATACATGGAATATCCAGCCTGGCAGACAAAATATGTGGGAAAGTAAGACTTGGGACCACATCAGTGGGATTTCTCAGATGACTAAAGTTGGATGTGCTCATGCAGGATTGGGTATATCAGCCTATTTGTAAGAATAGCACAAAAGGTGACTTCTCTTACAGACTTTGTTTCTCCTGCCAATGCATGCATGTCTCCAAAATGTTAATGGAAGTTACGTACTTATAACAGAGAGGAGAAAAAAGACCTTGTTACCAAGCCAAGTTGTATGGAAATATAGAGAAATATTTCAAACACTGACTTCTCAGCTAAATAGCTGTCAGGAGCAATCTTTACAATTGGTATAACTGTGAGGAAGAGAATGAAACAAATTCTACACATTAGGAAAAAGACAACATATAATTATATATATATATAAATATATATATACACACACATATCTATATAAACCCTTTAGTCAAAAGTAATTACTGAGGGCTAATGTTTTAAAATGAGTGACATATTCCCTAAAATGGTGGATACTAAACTTGTATAAAATTTGCTTAGACATTTCTTAGCTTCAATTCAGTGGTTAGCATGCAAGAAATGCACAGTATGTAATGCTGAAAACTAAATTAAAAATCTCACTTGTTTCTCAAAGTATGAATATATTGCTATGTACACTGTTCCCAACAGAGGGATTTCAGTTTTCCTTGGTAGCTTTGTGCACAGCAATATACTTGTAGCAGTGTAGCAGAGGAGGGGGGAGAAGAAGAAACAGTCAGTGTTCTTTGCAGGAACCTATTTCTGTTCAAAAATCAAAATAAATCAGTACAAGTTTGTCTTCAGAAATATGGTTACAAAAGGAAAAAGAACATGGTTTCTTCCTGTGAGGCTGTTCTGAGAAATCAAAGCCAAAGCTTCTAAATAGTGAGTTGTGTTTTAAAAGAAGGAAGTAGCTTAATTCAGTTTGAAGAGGAGATGAAGAAATTGTATATCAAAAGCAGTCTTTTAGCAAAGTCTCTTACAAAAGGACATTCTACTCATGTGCGTATGCATTTAAAAGCTACACTATATTGCGTATTCAGGTAAGTATTGAGTAAATAGGAAATGATGAGATCATCTTACATATTCACACAGCCTCACAAAGAGGTTCTTTATAATTAGTGAAAATATTGAGGTTACATCTGCCGTGCTATTCAGCCTTCTCCTTGAAATACCTTTATCAGTGACTGAATGTAGTACTGATACCAAATTCCTGTTGTAATAAACTTATAAGAATGTTTTTAATTTACTGCAATAGAGTGAAAATGCCATATTTAATACCACAGTTGGATACTTAGCTACAGCCACAAGTACTCTTTCTACATTCACAAAACTGGCAGACGAAACATGAAAAGGAATACTGACTCTTTAATCTCTACTTCTCCACCTAAGGCCCAAGGCAAGCTGACAGGGTAACTTCGTTCTGGAAACAGAGGGTTTTTTTTATTTTTTTTAATTCTGGATTACTTTTTCTTCTCTTTTTGAAAACTGTGGGCTATAGGGGAATGAGCCTGGCATAGACTTAAAACAAGAACAAGTTTCTTTATCTGAAAAGTTACAGTCCTTGATACTTACAGGAAGGTCATTTTCAAAACCCACAG